TTAGGTGGACCACCATATTCCAATTTTTATGCTTCTCATCCTTGATATAATAAACCTAAAGTGACTCAGGCAAGAATGCAAATTCACCCATATGAATGAACTAAGAGAAATTAACAGATGTGATGTCCAATTCATCAATAGTGAATTACCATGAAATTATTGTATTTACCAAGCAACACTTGAAGAGAGTGATAGTAAAAAGTCTCTGGTAATTTAATCCGATGATGTTAGCCAGCTTTCCAATAAGGGACACCTCCAAATTGTATATCACTGTTACTATTACTAGCATAACTTCTCATCTCAAACAAGTCAAAAAATCTAGAGTTTTGTGTGAGCAAACTCTGACATGTGCAATCATGTAGAATTTGAATCCGTTGACATTATACATGCTTAACCTTCTTGTATCGTCAAACGGACTAACTGCAAGATATTTGAGTTCAACTATGTGGGAGTTGTTGTGATTATGTATTTGATATGTAAACCAACTGAGAAATTCTCTATGAACTTTTTTATCAATCTCAATAGATGTCTGTGAATAGACTCATAGAAGAATCAATGATAAAGAAAATTAAAATCTAAAAAAGTAAATTAGTGTAAAACTTATTGACAGAAGAGTTTAACTTAACTGCGATTTGTCAAAACATGTCTATGTGCTTGGAACTTCTTAATAGGAGTAAGTTTAAAGTACTCAGAACCTGATAGTTTTCCAATAGAAGAGAAGAAATCACTTGAATTGGAAGGACTCAATGGACAATAGTCAACCCAAGGCAAGAAAAGATATCTTGACGTCATCAAAGTACTTACCCACAACCTCAAAGTCAAAGCTGGTTGAATGCCCACTAGAACGATAGGGCTTATTTTGTTGCTGTTGTTGCTACGACGCTCTATCTCTTCCTCCTCCTCCTCCTCATCACTATCACCATCATCATCAAGCAACGATATATAAGTACAGAAGTCGTTATCAATCTAGAAATCCTCAATGTTGATGCCTTCGTAGCCAACAAGGTGCTCCTGGAGTAGCTCTAACTCCTCCACCAGACTCCTCAGATGGACCTGACCGCTCTGGATGTTAAGGGAATCTATTAGGTGGCATGAGATCCTTGTTGTATCGACAAGCCATGCTGATAAACATAAATAATAGAATAAGTAAAATAAATTCAAATTAAATTATAAAAAGTCTAACGAAATATACACAAACTATTAAAAATAATAAATAAAACAAATACAAAAATTAACTGTTATTCAAACAAATAAAAATAATATCATATTTCATATTGTGGTAAAAAGTAACATTTCAATTAAATTATAAAGCTTGGCAAAAAAAACTTATAAAGCAATATATTAACTTAATAGTTAAATGAACATATATTAAATAAGCAAATTAAACAATTAAATTATTACATTAAAATCAATTAAATGAATTTAATTATTAAATGTACAAATAAAAAAATATCATATTTCATATCGTAAAAAAATAACATTTCAATTAAATTATAAAGCAACATATGACTTTAATAATTAATTGACTTGACAAATTAACTAAGAAAACTAAACAATTAAATAAATAATTAATTATGATATTCCATTATAAGACAATTAAATAAACAAACTAAATAAATAAATAAATACACTGATTAACAATTAAAATATTATTAAATAAACTAACAAACTAAATAATAAAATTAAAAAAATGTATAAAGGACAAGAAGGTTAGGTTTAGCGAAAGGAGCTAGTCCCTCATAACATGACAAATTAATATTTGTATCCCTGCTAGAAGATGTACCCATATTTAGTACCCGCATTATCTTGAATAAGATTTCTCCCAATAGGAAGACACATATGCATAGCCCAATAGGGGCTAGTCCTTAACTTTGTTTTTTTTTGGTACCTGGACAGCTGAATGTAGAGTTCATATTAGAGTTGGATTTGGATCCAAAACTGGATCTAAATTCATGACAGAAAATGGGCAGAGTTTCGCTTCTCAAACTCACCGAAAAGTGCCAAAATGAAGAGGGGCAATATTTATACAGGTTACCTTGTAGCAATTCTCTCAAAAACCGCTACAAACTGTTACACTTTGTAGTTGTTGTTTTCAGAACTGCTACAAAATTCTGTTGCAAACACTACTACAAAATTCTGTTGCAAACTTATGCATCCGTCACAAAACTTAGATTTTGTAGCAGTTTTGCCTAACTGCTACAAATGAACGTGCAAACTCACTCCCCCGCCCCCCCTCCCTTCTGTAGTATAAGGACCGGAGGTAGTATAATGTTTGTCAATAAAGATTTGTCTCATCAATTGTTAATCAAGAGATCTAAAAAAAAATGATCAAAGTTACTTCCGATTATGTTTTTTTTTTTTAAACAACAACAAAATGAATCTAATGATAGTTGAGGAAAGTGAACATGTTTATTATTTTGACTACACTTTTATTTTTGAGCATGTTTGTAGCACATCAATTCCCTAATTTTTTTCAGCTGTCGCGTGAAAAAAGTATGACAACATATTTTTGATTGCGTAATGACTAATACAGTAGTTTAATGTTATAGATGAATTTACAATTTCCAAATTCTCTTTTATTTAAGAAATAGATGTATGTAGTTGAAAATAATTGCTAATATGTATGAAATTGCGTTAGTTATCTTTATCAACATGTACAATATCCTACTAGATCAAATTAGTCTATGACTTCATAATACGTGTACTGAATATATTTTGAATTATTTTTCAAAGAGATACGTAGTAGTGTTTCTTATTCAATGTATTTTGGAAGCATTATAGTTTTAGGTCAATTTATAAATTTTTCCATTTTCTATTATTATTTTTTCATGTTTTCCTTAAAGGTCTCATATGATGTACATAACATATAGTATACACAAACATATATGTGTATATGTATTATTTAACAAAATTTATGCCATTTCAATTAGTTTACAACTAAACTAGCTTTCTTGATAATAGTCCAAATAATTTCTATTTTTACAAGCTTGCTTATTTATAAAAACCAACTTAAACATAAATCACATTGTCCAATCTTTTACCCAAACTTAAATTTCTAAAAGTCCAATTGAAAATAAATCACTTTTCCTACTAACAATTCAAACCAGTACTAAATGGCTTATACAATGATTAATACTTTAGTCTACTTTCAAGTTTTCCAAAATCTCTTAGAAATAGTTGTAGCTCAAAAAATTGATTTTGTCTTAATAAAAATAGTTTTGTACTACCAATAGAGTTGGGCCTAGTGGAAGGGATTAGTCCCTCACAAAGTGACAAACCAAGATTCGAATGCCCGTTGAGAGAAGTACTCATATTTAGTACCCAACAGTGTCTCGAATAGAATTACCTCAAATAAGAGGATACCTATGCATATTTAAAAAAAAAAAAACTTCAGTAATATTAGCTAGACTATTAAAGTCTAAGCTTTATGTGCACAACATGGGACTTTTTGGAAGAAAAAGAGAGATGGTGGAATTGTAGAAAAACTCAACCACTAGGGTGAATTAAACTAATAGATAGATGCCTCTATCTATAACTTTGGCTAGGATATTTTAGAAAGACAAAATATCTATTAAATCCATCAAATAATCAAATATCTCTTATCTCAATTAATTCTAAATATATATCTCTATGTAATATATATTTAATCTAAATAATATAAACTAATTTTACACTATAACTAATTGGATTTAATTCAAATTGTTTGACCGAGTCAAATATATCATAATGTTGCTTGAATGTTTTATTAAAATATTCTCTTAATATCTAGTCAAATAGCATGACCCATGAAGGATAGATCTGAACCCAAAAATCTAACAAATATAATTAGTTCTATTTTTGAATGTGTTCTACATCCCTTTTGGACTAAATACCCATATTTTTTCCATTCCTCCGATTATCTTCCTATAATTATTTAACATAAATATTTAAAATAAAATTTTTAGGAAATGCAAACATCTTTTTTTTTTTTCACTATGCACGGTTCATTTTGGCTCTACTTGCACCAATCCTTGTTGCTTTGACTTGGTTGTTGCACTTTTCGTGTGCTGGTGCAAAATTTGTGGTTGTTTTACGATGTCAATAAAGATTTTCATGGTAAAAAAATTTAAAAAGCCCATCGAGAAACATTTATCAAACCAATGAACCCACTTACCATAAAACAGATTCAGGAGTGTTTAAATAGAATTAAAACCATGATTTTAAAAATATTTTTACAGTGTACAAAGTAAATATGTGAAGGAGTTTATCTTGTTTTGTAAAAAAATGCTTCTAAGAAGCACCACCCCCTGAGAGTTCCATCATAATAGAATAGTTTTGAACAACAGTTTGTAAAGCTAACCAGGGAAAAAAGGGGAAAAAAAGTGGCCTGCCCTCATTCACAAAATGAGCTAGCAACATTCGATAAATTTGAAGTACAGGTAGTAGCACGAGACCTACGAGTTGAGTTGATCCGTAACTGGTTAAAACCATATAAATCGAGTTGAGAAAACTTGTTTGAAAACGGGCTAAGCTGGTTTAATAGATTAACTACGAATCCACCACCAATTATTTATTTTTTTTAATTTTTTTAATATACAATATTTGAAAAAATATAACGAGATTTTATTAAAACCATCAAATAAATTACAGGTAATTTGTTACATTTTTTAGATAGAATATAACCATAATTATAATAATTAAAAAAATTATTTCAAAAAATAAATGCAAGTCATCCTACGCACAACAAGTTGCAAACCTATCGGTGCAAGTTAAAAAAAACTCGTTTACTAGCAATCTAACTCTAATGGCAAGTTGGCAAGTTAGACTCTCGAATTCAATTCAACCAATTGAAGCCCAAAGTTACCAACAACATCCGCAAGAGTATAACAAACATAAATGAGTTCCACCCTACATTTATCCCACGAGTCAACCACATATTAAAACTTCCATTTACTCATAACAGTCCAAACCTTTTCTTTTTTTTTAAATACACAAGGGCCATGCTAATAACCATCCAAAATCGTTCAAATTTCACAAGTTTCATCATTCTTCCAAAACATAGTTTAATCCAAATATCATAAGTTTAGCAAAAGGTCCTTGTGTCACGGAGTAGCAAGAAGTAGATTCTTAAACATGCAATCACGAGACCATCACAAAAAGTACACAGCCCTTTCAAAATGCATATGTCAAATAACCAGAACCATACAAGATAAATTCATATCGAATGTGATGTGAATCGCCTAACCCAGCCAAAACTCCTATACCAAAGTAGCTCTCCTAAGCTCCCCTTTATGGGTCTGGTACGTCAAAGCAACAAGAGCATTTTTTCTCGGATCTATGCCTGAGCAACAAAAGCAATTCCATCAGTTTATAATAGATGGTGCTGTAGATTATTTTCTCGGATTCATGCATGTGAAAAAGATCTCTTTTAGCTATTAGTGCTTCATTCAAAAACAAAAACTAGAGAAAATTACCCGAAATAATTGATTATAGCATGGCAAAAGGAGCAATGAGATTGTTTTAAAAGCTTTTGACGCATCATTAAATTTGATATCCTTAAAGGGCACAAGCCATTATCACAGTTGATTTCCCACAACTTAATTCTTTGAATGCTACTGTTTGATAAATTGCTACAATCCTACATTGGTGTCATTCAAGCCAATACAAATACCTTGGTTGAGTTTCTATTATTACTTCTATGATTAATATATCCTTTCTTAAGACTAGGTCTATAAAAATTTACCGTTAACAAAGTTTCAATATGTGTTCAAATTAATTTGGGAGTTTTCCAGCCAGATACAATACTTTGAAATCAATTTAGCAGCAGAAGGTGTGCCAACGACCAGACCTCTTTGGAAAACAGGATGGACCAGGATTTGGCCGTGGCTTTTTAGCAGCTGCGTAAGCCCTTGCTTCCACTGCAATAATAACATGCCAGAAAATTAAGGAAACTGACTAAACAAATTAACCAACCAAAATACAGAAGAAGAGGAAGGATAATAGAATACAATGCCACAAAAGGTTCATCCATTTTAGAACCAGATAAACCATATAATCTTGCTTAAAATGAATGGCTAATGGTGGGGAAGGAAAAATAATAAGAAACACGATGTTATTAGAGAAGTAAAGTAAGATAAAAGCACTGGTACATCAAGCACCCACAAACTTTAAGTGATTTATATTGATTTTGCAACCTTGGCATTATTATACACTGAATATAAATACCATTATTTAGAGAATGATCTCCAGGGTTGCGTTTCTCAGCTACAACATCGTCGCTTCCACAACCTGAATCAATAGATCAAATGTCAGGCCAAGCAGGAATCATACACATAAAGGAGAGACAGATCATATATTATCCATTAAATATAAATAATATGATCCCTCTAAGAATAATCTCAACACTTTTGCTCCTTCAGTTGAACATCAGGACCTTCAGCAGAAGTCAATTTATTAGTATTATATCCTAGAGAAAAATTTTTCAAAAGCAAATAAACAATAGAACTAGTGCATCTTTAAAAAGCCCTACACGACATATTTTTAATAGAATTAAGATCACCAAAATGAGTTTCACTTATACATTCACCGCAGTTGAAGACCCACACAGGCTTCGCATAAGCAGCTTCAAGAATAGCTTCTTCAATCTTCTTCAATGTATTAAATCCCTTAATAAGCTTCCCAAAAACCATATGAAACCTTCATAAGACTCCACACAACAGGATTAGCAAATTATGTATTTCATACAAATGCAGTGTTTGCATGCCAAGCAATTGATATCCACACCCCACATGCTCATGAGAAGGAAAAGAAGGACACTGCTAAACACCCCAAGTAAACATACAAACCTGTCAAGACTGTCATCAGGTTGTAATGTGATCACAAATTGTGAGCCAAGGCCAAAACGATCAGTAATTGCCATGGACAGAAGTCCTCGCTCACAGTGTTGAAGCTGAGTGCTCTCAGCTGAAATATATCACAAGAACAATGAAAATGTGCTGTTTATCAAAATAGACAGATATTTTGAGCTATGTCTGTAAGCAAACAAAACATTTTGAATTATTGCATTCTACAAAGTAAGAGCTTCAATGTATGAGTTGCATTCTCACCTGGAAAATCTGCTCCATATATGCTTTCACCACAATCACCTACAAAAAGATTTGAAAAAATGAGACGCAGTGGTCTAAGAGGAGACATTACGAGACACAAGGAAAAAAATGAAAATTATACTCCTCCGGTCCTAATGTTAACCCATTTTATAATATAATTTACATTACAAAATACATCTTACATTTAGAACTGGAGAGCATTAGACAGGTTGAAACTCAGTTAAAATTAATACTGCAATAGGATGCAACCTAAAACTGATGCAAACTCCAGAATTGACATTCCACTTCCAAACATAACAAAAAGAGTGGCAGTCTAATGAATTAAGCTACAAAAAGTGAAGAAAAAGAAAGAAAATAAGGGAAAGACATACTGAATATATAAAAAACCTATTAAATAAATAAAGCAGCATTTAACATGAAAATTAAGGAAAAGTGAAGACTGACAGGATTTAACCTTTAACGTAATAACAAGTGAAGAAAAAGAAGAAAAATAAAGGAAAGACATTTTTTGTGCAATGCATGGAAAAAAGAATCTACTTTTAATTTATTTGTGATGACTCGTGATACTACCAAAAGCATGAAGATGGACAGGACATATTCAAAGACATGAAAATGACTAAACATGTATCAAATTGCAGGCTTGAAAACCTGAAGAACCATGTCATCCAAGTGTCAATGCATCGATAGAAAACATACCACCCGGACCAAAAAAATCACCACCCTGCAAAAGGAAAACAAGCTATCAATAAATCATCAAGATAGTACAAGGCATACAAAACAAGTTTGGACGTTATAAGGCTTATTACTTTACCAAACTCACATTTTTTTATTCCACAAAATCCAATCTGTAAAATCATTTTTATCACTTCTCACAGATGCTAATCCAAATACAAGCTTAAGACTACATCACAAAAGGACTCATGACCATCAACCCAATATCCTACAACATAAACAAAATAGACTTCAAGCACAATGTAGCACAATGTTATGGATAGATCTACACTGCCAAGAGAGGTCTTAGATGTAACAAGAATTAAGAAAAGAAACACACCTTCACAATGGAACGGCATTTCCCACCCTGCAGAAGTTAAACAAGCTATCAATAAATCATCAAGATACCACAAGGCATGCAAAACAAGTTTGGACATTATGAAGCTTATTAGTTGATCAAAATCACCTTTTTAACAAAAATCTATTCTCTAAAATCATTTTTATGACTTCTCCCCAAAAGCTAATCCAAATACAAGCTCAAGACTACATCACATAATAATTGACTTCAACCACAATGTGATGGATAGATCCACAATAGTGATCTTAGATGTAACAAGAGTTGAGAAAAGAAACACACCTTCACAATGAAGCGGCGTTTCCCACTCTGCAGAATGAAAACAAGCTATCAATAAATCATCAAGATACCAAAAGGCATCCAAAACAAGTTAGGACATTATGAAGCTTATTAGTATTATAAGATGAAAAACCTAGCAAGTACAAACTTAAAGACTACATCACAAAAGGATTCATGACGTCAATCCTAAAGCATAAACAAAAATAATTGACTAAAGAAGGGACAATTACTGAGCCACGTTCAACTTCAACCACAATGTGATGGATAGATCAATATTACAAAAAGTGATCTCAATCATAAACAGAGTTAAGAAAAAAACATACCTTCGCAATGGACCAGCCTTTCTGAATGCCATAAAAGAAAGAACCCTCATAGTGCAAGGGCAAACCAACTTTCTTACCCATTCCCTTTTCTCCTGGACATAGATAAAAATTAAATCAGCAATGGTAAACCTATATCATAAACCACATGTCCGCTGGCTTTTTCAATGCGTCAGACTGTAATTATCATATGGGATGGTTTTACTAGGAAATAAAACCATCAAATTATCACCTGTACATAGTGCACGGAAATTTTCTGCAGTGAATGGGGCAAGCTTTTTGAATAGCTGGGAGAACACAAGAATGCATTAGGTAGCAGGTTGATCCTTCTCGGAGTCAAAAATGCAAAATTCAAAAAGAATCATGTATCATGACAGTCATTGTAATTCAAAAGTATTAAAAAGAAAAAGGATACCTCAAAAATCATTCTTCCAGCATCAACCCCACCTATAGAAACATCCATAAAAACTCGGGGATTCTTCTCCATCAATATATTACTTTCATGACTCATAACTCAAGCCAACAACCACTGAAGTCACAAAAGTCAACAAGGAGACAGCAACCAATTATTGATATGTTAACTACTTTTGAAGAAAAAGCCCATGCTGATAATGGCACACATCATATCAAAGCTACAGCAATTGTAACCTTGATAAACAAAAATATTCTGATACACAGTGCCTTCATAAGTGCCTTCATAACAGGAAATTATGGGCCTAAACCATGTCCAACCATTGATGACAACAACCTCCAAAGAAAATCACACCAAAGTTCATTAAAAACTTTGATGGGTTAAAAAAATCATGCCATCCACCAAAAAAAGCCATGTGATCATCAGTGAATCACCATTTTCCACACCAAACCAATTGTGAAGAAAAGTGCTTGACAAAAATCAACTTAGAGGCAGTTAACCATGCCGAACATAAATTCACTGAAAAGATGCAAACATTAAACCCTAGCCATTCATTTCCAGAAGAATCTTAAGCACCTGAGAAGCGAAGATCCAAAAATCGCTAGGTTATGCCTCTGCTAGGGATTGAAGTCTACATAATAGCTATTTAGCAGAAATAAGCAATTGAAATTTGAGGACTACTGTTTTCAAATATCATTTCACACAAGGAAATAGGAAGGACCAAGTACACAAATCAACCAAAGCAACAAAAATAGCAGGACAGATGGAAAGAAGAAGGACCTGTTTGAGAAAATTCCCCGTTCAGTATCCTTAGCATTTAAAACCCCCCATAGAAATGCTTAATACATTCCATTCCATTAACTATAACCAGAGACAAAACTCGAAAGTTTACAAGAAAGGTTTGCGATGAAAGAAATAAATTGATTACTTAAACTAAAACTAGGTTTTCGTCTTCCTCGAAAATTAATTTAATCTTCTTTACATGAAAATGAAATTTCAACGACATCCAAATAAAAGCGAAGTCAGAAGAGTAAAACTTTGCCACAAAAGTCGCAGCAGACAAGATACCTCTTCCGTGTCAGACACTCATGCCATCCTCTAACTAAAGCAAGAAGGATATTAAAATTAAAAATAACACAGAATCAAGTTGGCCTTCCACAAAACAGATAGCAAAAGACCTGGACAGTGGACATAACTCAGAAAAAAACAAAGAGAAAGAATGCACCAAAATCGAAGCCCCCAAGATCAACGATGAACGGACGAAACGTAAAGAGAGAAAACACAATAAAGGGGAGAAAACTTACAGGAAGCGAGTGCCGCGCGTGGGCTGCGTGCGATATCTGGCGGAGGTCGAACGCAAGAGTGAGAGGGATGAGAGCCAACTCCTAAAAAAATGGAGAGGAGGAGAGGGGAGGTTATGAGTTTTAGGCTGTGTTTGGGTGACACCTCAAACTATGGTTTGGAGAATAAATCACCCAAACACCCACCCAAAAACCAAAGCCATGGTTTTGGACCAAAGCCATGGTTTTGGGTCCAAAGCCATGGTTTTGGAAAAAGCAAAAATTTTTTGCTTTTGAGAAAAAAGGGAGAGTGTAAGAGCCTATAGGATATGTATCTTGTTATTTTTTATAAACATATTTAATCTTATATTTTATAAATATATATACATATTAATTAATTATTAATTATATTATCTTATGTATTATTAATTATGTTAATAAAAAATATATTATTAACAATTTTATTCCTTCAAATTAAAATATATCATAAAATCTATTTTTCTGTAATTATCATATTAACTTATGTTTTTTTTTTAGTAATTTGTATATATAAAAAGTGCTTCTGATAACAACTATTCCAAACACTCTCATTTCTCAAAATCACTTTTTCATAAAATCTATTCTTTCCAGAATCTATTCTCCAGAATTACTTTTCCAAACCACGGTTTGATTTCATCCAAACACACCCTAAGGGTTATTTATTTGGTTAGAGGGAAAGACAGTGGAGGGTAGATTTTTTATTTAGTTTAGGGTTTGTTTGGTTGGAGGGGAGGAGAGGGGAGAGAAAATGAATTCCTCTCTTTATTTGGTTAAAAATTTTAAAGGGGAGTGGAGCTAAAATGTCCCCTCTCCTCCCTCCTCCCATTTTGGCTCCCCTCTAAATTGGGAGTTTTTGAAGGGAAACTAAATTTTTGGACCATTATGCCTTTATAGTTTTTTAATATTCCACTTCTACCTATAAAATATATTATTATAATATTTATTTCAAATAAAAAATATATTATCCTAAGTAAAAAAATAAAAAAATATATACATTATTATAATTAAAAATATAATATAAAAAATTATTTAAAAATAAAAAATTATAAAATAAAATTAATTTGTTTTTATAAATATATTATTTATTAAATATATTTTAAAGCTGGAAAAAAAGATAGCCTAAAAGAATAAAATTTCATTTTTCTTAGAGCATATAAATTTGTTAATTTGATTATTTTAAATATATTATTATATTAATTAGAATAAAAAATTACTGTACTAATTTTTTAATACACATATTAACATGATAAGACTGGATTTTTATTAAATTATATGATTTAAATTAAGATTTAAATTAATTTATAAATATATCAATAAAAAACATAAACTAATATGTAAGGGTAAAATGGTAAATTGATTATTATTATCCCTCCCCTCCCCTCCTTGAACCAAACAAGAGATCATTAAATATCCTCCCCTTCTCTCCTTTTTAATCAAACCAAACAAGGTGAGGATAAAACTCCTCCCCCCTCCCTACCCCTCCCTCCTCTCAAACCAAACAGGCCTGAGGAGAATGGAAGGGAGCTAATTATAAATTGATAAATATATTTTTATCTCTTTATTTAAACTTTTTTATTATTTTATTATGATATTTATATCATAATTATTTTTTTTATTTTTGAATATAAAAAAACAAGATACCTTGAGACATAACAAATAGATTATAAATAATCATATATCAAAATAAATGTCAATAAAAAAAATACGTTATAATCTTTAGCATATTATATAAATTATAAATAAATTTATGTTACAAGTTTTAAACTATAACATCATTAATTATATAAAGTGCGCAGCCTCACATGCTTAATTACATAATACACAGAGTTTTGTGTAAAAAATGAAATTGAATTAAAATAGGTATACATAGAAACACATATCAACAAA